TGCGTGAGGGCGCCCTCTAGAATCCAGTATGAATGAAACAGACATTACATGTGTTTTTAGCACTAAATAATGGCCAATCCATAAAAATAATACTTCTCTTAAAATAAATTTGTAGACATATGATAATCAATGTATTTCTACAGTGTACAGAAGTGTGCTGGAGTTTTAATTGAAGTGTACTGGAGTTTCGGACTGAACCGAACTGAAAACTGTGGTTAAAAATTTCTCCAGTTACTGTCGTAACCTCAGTTCCCTGAGAGCGGGGACGTGACATTGTAAAGCATTCGCAGTGGGAACTCCTCCCCTTCTCTGAAATCCTGAAACTTTATAGGATAATGCCAGTTCAATAAACTGGCCAATTGTTGCTAATCAATGCAAACTGCATGTAAATACTGACAAGCCTGTGGGCAGTATAAAATGTGTTGAGAGCGACAATTGCCTCAGATTCTAAGACTGAACGCTGCAAAACTGATCAAGCAGCGAGCTCGGCTATCTTCGCAATGTCTTGTTCCTGCTCCCAGGGAACTGAGGTTTGACAGTAACTGGAGATGTTCTCTTTCAAGCATTCACTCTACATTGCAAAGCATTACATTGCGCAGTGGGAACGGTATACAATCCCGCTGTGAGAGCGGTGAAGATCAGCCCGAACTAAAGGCTAAGACCACACCAAACATGGGATAGAACAGCACACAATTCCCAACCAATAGCAATGCCGTTAGGGAACCCTGCAGCTGATGCATAGCTAGACCAATGAACATCTTAACTCAGGTATACCAAATTAGGACATCTGGCCAGAATAAATGAGCGGCTGCACTGAATACAGGGCAAACACAACCATAGCAAGGTAGCGCTGTGCAAAGTAACAAAGCACATATAAAAATGTACACAGTGTCAACAGCTATACGCAGTAACAAACTGTTCCCCAATTGCATGCATTGCAATAAGATGAGTAAGAAAGATAAGTGAGGTTAGTGATTTACCGAAAGAACTTGAGACGCCAAGGATGGCACATCCAACTTGTAAAACCTTGGCGAAAGTATTCTGTGGAGACCAGCCAGCTGCATGGCATATATCCCAAATAGACCAGGCCCATGAAGAGGCGATAGCCCTCATCGTATGGGCTCTGATGTTGAGAGGGCATTCCTGTCCCTGGCTCGCATAAGCTGACACGATAGCATCTACTATCCAGTGAGAAAGCCTCTGCTTAGAAACTGCTTGTCCCTTAGAATGGCCACTGAAGCACATAAAGACTGGTCAGACTGTCGAAAGATGGCAGAGCGGTCCATATAAATCCTTAAGGCCCTAACCGGGCAAACAGCACTCCGAGCCTTGGCGTCATGCGAAGTCGACGGCGCGAAAGACAAAGCAGGCAAAGAAATGACTTGCGCTTTAAAAGGGGTGGAGAGAGATTTAAGCACATAGCCCGGTCTGGGCTGGAGAGTAACACTGCAGTCTCCAGGCCCAAAACGAACACAATAGTCGCCCATCGAGAGCGCATGCAAATCTCCTATGCGCTTAGCCGAGGCAAAGGCTAGAAGCAGAGCAGTTTTGAGGGAAAGCTCCCTCATAGTGATAGATTCCAAGGGCTTGAACGGGCGAAGAGAGAGAGCTTTTAGAACCAGCGCTAGGTCCCACGGTGGCACCGAAGGTGGGCATGGGGGATGTAATCTCCTCGCTCCCCTGAGAAATCTGACCACCAGCGTGTGCTTCCCGATCGTTTGCATGTCAACCGGGGAGTGAAATGAAGCAATAGTGGCCACATACGCCTTTAGCGTCGACGGTAGACTCCCTCTGTCCAGCCTGTGCTGCAGAAAACATAGAACATCCGACACGGGGCAGCTCACCGGGTCGATGTCTCTATCACAGCACCATTTCACAAACACTCCCCATTTAAGTGTGTACATACGCCTAGTAGAATGTGCACAACACTCAGTGAGTGTATCAAGCACACGGGGAGACAGGGCACTTGGCTCCTCTAGGACCTCTGAAGCAGCCACACATGAAGGCTCCACAGCTCCGGGCTGGGGTGCCATATCGAGCCATTCGCTTGAGACAACAGGTCCCTCCTGAGGGCGATTCGCCAAGGGGGGGACATCAGTATCTAAAGCCAGCCTGATAGGAAGCACTGAGTACTGGGGTATGTTGTGCCCTCAAAAGCAAACCTCAGGAAGCGTCTGTGTTGCGGAGCTATCTGAATATGAAAGTATGCATCTTTCAGATGTACGAATGCAAAACAGTCCCTGGGATGGATTTATGCCAGGATCTGCTTCAGTGTTGTCATCCAGAACGCACATAGATGGGTCCCCCATCTCTCTTGGGTACCACAAAATAGCAAGCAGGCTTTGAACTTCCTGTCTCAAAACAGGGGCATTTCGAGGCAGTGTCAGTGACAGAACCACGCCATTGAAACTGGGTGGTCTGCGTCTGAACTGGAGAGAATACCCACGCTCTATTATGTCCAGCACCCAGTGTGAAATGCTTGGAATAGCTGTCCATGCATCTAGGAACTGACATAGCGGCCAAATGCCTCCAGTCGCTATTGCTAGCAACAAAGTTCGTAGACTGATGCCTTGCCCCAACGAGGCTAAACGTACTGGCGGGGAAACAACTTGTTGAAGACAACACTGGGTGGCCATAACAGGCACAGACAGGGTCTGAGCCAGGGCAAGCGATGCGGTATCTATAGTATGAGGAGGAAACAGCTCTTTTTGTGAGGGTGTTTGTGTTTTTATTGAGCAAACAGAAACAAGAACATTGCATTTGTCTCCTACAGGAACAAAGGGGACATGATGCAGAACATGGCGCTTGGGGGCCAGGCCTCCAGCAAGCTTTCTCCTCCTCTTGACCAGACCATCAGGACGAACATCCGACTTAGGACAGGGCACCGAGGAGGGTGTGGCAGGCTGTTTAGTCGCTCTCTGTGCAGAATGGGGTGTTGACGAGGAGCATGATCTTGAATGCTGCTGGAACATGTGTCATAGCATTAGATGACTTATCGCCTTTACGTGCTTTTGAGCCTCAGAGAAACACTCAATCACTGACTCCACGGTGTCACCAAAGAGGCAGGAGGGTGTAATTGGCGTGTTGAGGGGCGTCTTACAGTCAGAGTCCTTCAGGTCAGCTAGGGTTAACCATAGGTGCCTGTGAAGGACCACCATAAAGCCCATGGATCGACCAATGGCCTGCGCTTAGTTGCCATCAGCGCAAAGTCTGTCGCCGCACACAGGTCTTTCGACGCTTAAGTGGTGACATTGCCTCCGTACATGGATTGCAGGAGCTTGGCTTGGAAAACCTGCAGCAATGCCATTGCATTGATGCGGCCTCACCAGCGGAAGTGTAGGCCTTGTCAGCCAGGTCGGCAGTCAGCCTACAAGACCTGGACGGCGGGCTGAGGGCCATGCCCAGCGTGGCGGAAGGAGGACATAAATGCATGGTGACGGTCTCCTCGACGGGGGGCATGCACACGTATCCATGGGCTTCCGCCCCATCCATGTGGGAGAAGGGAGACTGCGTGGGAGTGTGGACGTGGGCCGATTGAGGTGCATGTGCTCATGGACGTCCGGGAAGAATGGTAACTTCCTCCTCGAAGCGGCCTGGTGGTGGCCCGACTACAATTGCCAGAAGTCAAGTTTACTCCTGGCAGATTCCTGTGGAGCATCCCAGCTAAGGTCAAGTTTCTTAACCACCTTAGCAAGAACCCTGGTGAGCTCATCATGGAGATCAGCAGTGCCATCGGTGTCAGGGCGATCCAGCTGCCCAGACCTTCTTTGATGCCGAGATGAACATGGAGTCCTCTTCCTCATCAGTGCAGAAGGAGATGAAGTCCGCTAGGGCAGGAGGTGGGCGAAAACACTCGTCAGAGAAAAGGACTGGGGGAATGGACTGTTGGCAGAGGACAACAGCCCGGGGCAGAGTTGTCACCTTTGTCCCGAGGAAAGGGAAGGCCCACCAGTGGTACACAGACGGCAGTGGGCCTCATCCCCATCAGGCCATGAGCAATACCCCTCCAAGCTCGTAAGACACAAACCGGCAGGTCCATGCAGTAGACACAGCCCGAGTCTGTAAAGGCAGCCTCAGCGTGGCCCAGGCAGGCAACGCAGTGCTCATGTGTGTTCGGCAGGCTGATGGGGCCCACGCAGATCCTACAGAAAGTAGCCATCGAATGCTGAAGAAATTATTGTTTCTTCTGTTGCGTCTTCAACGATGGCAGCAGCATGAAGCAGAAGATTCTGAGACAATTGCCGCTCTCGCCGCATTTTATACTCCCCGCAGGCTTGTCAGTATTTGCATGCGATTTGCATAGATTAGCGACAATTGGCCAGTTTATTGAACTGGCGTTATCCTATAAGGTTTCAGGATTTCGGAGAAGGGCATGAGTTCCTATTGTGAATGCTCCGCAATGTAGAGTGAATACTTGAAAGGGAACCAAGGTATATATAGATCCGTGGGCTAACTGTATTGTTGCATACTGTGCAGACCTGCTAACCTTTGGAAAATATTTAACATACTCAAAAAACTCAAAAGAATTTCCAAGGTTGGGAGGTCTGTTATTGCTATTGATAACCCCGGTAACTCTTATATGCTAAGGGGTATGACGTAACAATCCTTGCATGGCTATAACTCCACCCACAGGAATTATATTGCTAATGCATAACCAACAATGTATCCGCTTAATAAAGCAGTCCAAATAATTTAGACAATTTTACTGCTCAACAGGTTTAAAGGAGCTGGACATTTCTGCTTTTGCCCCCTGGACTTCCATTAAAACTACATTACTGTAAATGTATGTGTGTTTTTTTGTTTTGTTTTTGTTTTTTTTGTAGCCAAGGAATTTTTTTTTTTTTTCTGTGGTAATCAACATCATGTCACAGAGGATCTTAAGCTGTATTTAATGCAGGGTATTCCTCTAAAACTATTTCAAACTAATGCATACAAAATTACAAATAAGTGATGTATGTTAATACATAAGATAATTACATCAATGTTTTCTGTCTTTGCAGTTGAACATCCTGGTTGATACTGGAAGCAGCAATTTTGCTGTAGCTGCAGCAGCACATCCCTTCATCATACACTACTATAACAGAGCACTGTAAGATCACATCCCTGCATCATACACTACTTCATCAGAGCACTGTAAGATTGCATCCCTACATCACACACTACTATAACAGAGCACTGTAAGATCACATCCCTGCATCATACACTACTTCATCAGAGCACTGTAAGATTGCATCCCTACATCACACACTACTATAACAGAGCACTGTAAGATCACATCCCTGCATCATACACTACTTCATCAGAGCACTGTAAGATTGCATCCCTACATCACACACTACTATAACAGAGCACTGTAAGATCACATCCCTGCATCATACACTACTTCATCAGAGCACTGTAAGATTG